AAAAGAAAAAGAAAGAAGGTTTTAAGTCGAAGCAGATTCAGCATCATGTCTACTAGGAAGTTTGTTGGTCGTGGCCGTGGATCCATGACACTCACCCTATGATGGGGATGCAGTCTGGAGGAGAAGTTACTCATAGGTTTTGGATAAGCTGGACGCCACAACTTATGAGTAATGTACACTAAATGTATGTCAACGATCAGATAACGTACACTGGCATGAATTTGAGCATGCTCAAAATTTATCGACGTACTAGCCGTATGTCGACCTGTGCCAGCGTGTTTCAGCGTGCTTCACTTTACTTCACCGTTCTCATAACCTATACAAAACGTATCCATAACTTATAAAACGTATGCCAGCATTTTTGGCAGATTTTCCGTATGTCAGGCATACGCTGTATAAATCATCAAGGTGTGACGGGGGGCTTTAAGTCACTTTATTTCTTCTGAGTTTTACACGGGGGTTTTAAAGGTTGCCACAGTCACATGGTTTCTAACAACTTTACAAGACCAACTGATTTTACTGATGTAGTAGGAGTAAAATATTAGATAGATGTTGCTCTGCATGACTTACTTCTTTTACAGTTTTTCTTCTTACTGTAACTTCATTTAATTTAACTTTCTCTTTCTCTATTTTTTGGCATGTATGTGTATTTACACATACATATTTACACATACCGTACATGCCAAGTGTATTTAGGGTAAAAACTGTCACCAACCGTTTACCAACGTCATGATGCGTCAATAATATGCTCCTACACTCCTTGCACGGTCATTTGTCCTGCCTCTGATTTGTTCTGCTAGGGACAATGGGAGAGTCTTCCTTGAACCTAAGGTTCCAAAAGTTTTAAAATGGGTCTGTGGAACCATCAACAACAACAGACTTAAAGAGCTCAGAGTCCTGGGGTCCGTTTCAGAAAAAAGGTGTAACAAATTCAGGTTCAAATCCGCAACTCTAAATTGATCTAGCCTAAAGTCGGGAACTCTGGGTGTTCGATTCCACAACGGCTGCTTTCAGTTAGTTCGATCAATTTTAACTAGGTCCACTCAGCGTTGAG